ATGAACATATATTGCAATTGAAAAAATTCATCGTTCGATTTTGATGAAAATATCATTATACTAATATTAACGTCACACGATATATAAAATAATTTAGAGATAGATGTGGATCGCGCTTCTTGGTTGAGATGAAAATCAAAGATCAAATTTTTTTAAATACAAATGAAGATAACACATTGTTCGTATGTTCGATGTTTTAACTATAACTTGATTAATAGCATTTTTTAATACTGGCGAGTTGACAAATATAATTAATATAAATTTTTGATATTAATATTTTTCTAATAACGATGAAGAAAAAAAAGCATTCATAAGTTATATTTTTTATGTCTATTAAATATTTTTTTTAACTTTCAATAATCAACTGTGTTTGGTAAAAAGTTTTAAAGTGATTTATCCATCCCTTAAAAGTTGGATGGTTGGATCAATTTTAACGAGAATACATGAATCAGTTTTAACAGAGATAAATCCTTATTTTAAAACATGTATTTTCAAAATAAATAGATTGTAGGACAGATTATATACTTTTTGTATTGAAATAAAAAGAATGCCATTCAAAATATCGGAAACTTATTAGAGTGCTCTCGACTTGTTAGAGAGCTGAACATAGAGCATAATAATTATAAATGAATTTCAAAAGCACTTTGAAAATTATTTTAACAATAGATAATAAATTAATTTTCCTCAATATAAATTTACTTATTATACGTTCAAAAAAAATTATTTAGATTTACTAAAAATTATAATTCACTTTTTCTCTCACTCTTTCTCTGAACGATTGTTTTAGACTCAATTCTCGAAGTATATGTGGTTCGTCTCTTCTCTATTTTATAGTATCCTAAGGGAAAGAAGAATCCCCTCAAATCCTTTAACTTGTCTGTTGTTTAGTTTCTCTCTCGCTAGTATTAATAAAAAATTTTATTTCGGTAAAAGTTACGTGAATAAGAATAGTATGACATAGATGAATAAGAATAGTATGACATAGATTGACGTTTTAGGTGAATATTAAAGTAGTTTACGATTAAAAACATACTTGTTTTTCTACTCTATGTAATTTAAAAAAGATAGCAGATCTATCCCTTGGAATTACTTGATACAATATGTAATATACTGGTCTGTTACAATATTTGTCTTCCTTTAACGATTTAATACATCATCGCAGAAACTCCTATCTGCATCGCGCAACCATCCAATTTCTTTGTCGATTTAACTCACACGCTCTATGACCGGTTTCCGCGACTGGTATCGAGTAGATAAAATGTATACACACTGGCTGCTACTAAATGATAACTCTCTCGTACTCCATGATATTGCCAAGTAGCGGTGGATAGAATATTGCTCGCGTCGAAAGACCCGATTTCGAGAACTGTGAAATCATGATTTCTAGCACCTACCTAGCACTTACTTTGCCGAGCTCTTTGTTCATCGTGCATTCAGTCTATAAATTACTATTTTAGTACCGTAAAATTTGTTGAGCCACAAAATATATAAAAGAGAAAAAATATTTCTTTTTTTATATATTAAAATTATCCTAAATAACCGAAAAACTGGAAGACTTAAGAAAAATGAAAAAAATATATTAAAATGCTCGAAGAAGCAAGAGATTAAATATTGATTTCCCTCAAACATTCGTGATGAGCGATTCAAACTGACGACAAGAAGTTAAAAGAGAAGAGCAATACTCACTTCGCTACGGTGTCCTCGGAGATTGTAATTTGCCCTGAGTGGAAGTTCTGCGGTTCTGGTGCGACAATGCGATGTAGTAAAAGTCACCCCTACCAAGCCGCGAGCGTTGCCGGTGGCCAGCCATCCTTCTTGGTAGTAATTTGTACGATCGAGCTTCCATCCTTCATCCTGGTAAATAAGAGAAGCCAATGTGTTAGTTATTCCTTCTCGCGGAAAGTAGCGCGAAACGTCATTTGCTCGCGATTTATAGTGCCACGATGATTTCAACGATCGTGATAGCTATTACGGTTATTTTTAACTGGGATTGTAAATGAGACTGAAAAAGGTCATCGTGTAGAGTATCACTCTATTTAATGATTGAAGTCACCGATCTCAGAAAGTGGCTTAAATAAAATATCCTTTGAATCCTTTGCGTGAATAAATTATTTAACTGACTTATCACATGTGACAAAGACGTTTTGTAATGCTGATTCGTTATTCATTCCGTAGAATTTGATACGAGTTTTATTAGAACATATGCGCTTTTGCATGGCAAAGTACATATAAAAGCGATGGTTTGACAGCCAAAAATAGTTAATTATATTAATTAATGATACGACCGATGACTGCATTATTCGATATCAGATAGCACAGTCGTTCAATTAAAATCAAAATGCTTGCCAGAATATTCCGCTGCCGAATATTTTATCGAATAATATTTTCAACTCAAACATAAGTCAGGTGGCGAGGGCTTCGATGCTAAAAAAGGGTTTCATCCTCCGACTCGCTATACATATGTAGGTGTAATTACTTAAGACAGTCTGAATCCTTAGCAATATCGAGATATATATGCACGTTACAGGAAAAGGCATCAAGTTTATCTACTGTTTAATATCGTAATCTACTGTTTAATATCATAATTTCTTTGAATAGAAAATTATTACGAGATTTTTGTAATACGAAAGATTAAAATTATATTAGTATGTGTTTTTAGACTTCGGTTTTGGCACAGGAAACAATATCGTAAATATCGCAGAAAATATTCAATCTGGATAATTTGCATCTGTTCCCTCCCACTTTGGCATCCTTCCCATCAATAAACGAATCCCTGCAATTCGCTGCAATATTGAATGCAACTATTTTGAAAGAGCATTCAAATTTTGCTTGTTAATTAGCAATGTGCTGTTGATCAAAAAGGGATGTTAAAAAGAGAGTTTATTATTTCTTATATAATATTGGAAAGAAACATATAACAAGATAGCAAGAGATCAAAAAACAGAATATTTCTCTTTAAAGTATTTCTAGACCTCTTTTCGCATTTATATCAGAGATTTTGAAAATAGGATATAACATCCTTCTTTCCCATTCGTGCTTAAAGTTTTTTCTTGAAATGTCGCGCATGCGAGATAACATGAATTATACTATACAATTTCATTAAAATTACAGATTGAATTACGACTAAAATATCGCGGTTAAAATACATAGTGTATTTTGTGGCCTCTAGTAGACAAGTTCGCGTATTCTGACAGTTCGCGTATTCACCGGGTTGCCAGTATAATTAAAGCGCGATTTAACGGAGATGTTTTGCGTAGCCATAATGAGATGAAGTCCAAGAGGATACGACTAAGCTGAAACAAGAATAGAGCAGAGCCGGTAACGATGCGAGAGACTGCAATAATTCGATAGCTAACTTCCGCAGACGCTACTATCCGAAACAATGAAAGCGCCGGATGTAAAAACGCCGCGCGATGAAACCTCGTGACAATCCTTCGTGATTATCGTAAAAAATTTGTGTCTCGCTCGTAAATCTTCGTTAGCGTCCGAATCATCGTTGTGCGGTCCTGTGGCAGAATCGCGTCCCGATTTCTATTACCGCGTCGAGACGTTTCGCAAACGCCGCGGTGTGATCGATGACCACGAGGGTGGTCTTTATTTGCAAGTCACAGTGATGTAACAAATAGGGAGGGTGTGTGACGTGGGGGGAGGAAGAGAAATCAGCGGTAATCCAATCTTTGCGAACATGTTGAGTGCAATCCGCGAAAAATGGGGAGCAAAGGGTGAGGTCTCGATTGGTTGGAAATCGATGTTGCGCGAAGACGAGACGTCTTGTGGAACTATCTGCCCAGCTGGGCTGAGCGGGATATTTTTTTTTTTTTTTTTTATTGTACCGCGAGAGAGTTTAGTGCTCGGAACGTCTCGGTGCAATTTTCCGACGAACAATAGCGCGTATAGTAGCGTAGAACAGCGGCTCTTGATATAATGACGTTATCGATTCGCGAGCGCGATTCACAATAAATGTGAGTATAATGGAAATACACGGGACGGCGCGTACACGCGACCGTGATACACGTGAAACTTGCACTGATTCTTTGGCGGATTACGGGTCTTTAGCGACGGAAATCCTTTCCGTCTCTCGTTCCGGAGAAAATAAAATATTATCTCTGTTAAATTATAATAAAATTTTAGCCACGTGGAAACTTTGCAAGCGCGAGGTAAGTAGCAAATATGGTCCCTACTAATGGATCGCCATTTATTTCCGGCGATCTTTTTCACAGGAGACATCGAAAATTTATATCGCGTGTAATGGGTTTCGGACATTTTCGATCGAGACCTCTGTCGTACATAAATTCGTAAAATATCGGCGTTTTTCGCTAGGAACCACTATATCTTACGGCAACGACCGTGTAATCAGGCAGGAGAAAGTATAGTTAACGAAATCGGGGGAAAAAATAATGATATACTGCGTACCGATCAAGTATTCTTTCCCCGGGGACGAGCAGACTCCGGAGCGACTCGATCGAATTCGCCCTTCGCTAAGTCAATTATTTTTCCAGTAATTGAGCGCCCCGTCTCGCTTCTCCACGCGGGTTTTCATCGCGCTTCTTCCTGCGCTCCGAGGGCCGGCTTCCGCCCAAATCGTTGATCGGCAGATTGGCAGTCTCCGGCGGTGAATTAGAGTAGGCGCGAGACGAGAAACGTGCTCGTCGATCGAGAAACACGGTGGCCGTAATTAATTCTGATCGATTGCCTCATCCGAGAGTTCGGTAATCAAACTAATCTTCGTTGTGCGTTGCATATGTACGTACGAATATTTCCCGGGAAGACATGGAAAGATCATCAAAAGAGAGAGCGAGAGAGAGAGAGAAAAAGAGAGAGAGAGAGAGCCCGAAAGCTTGAAGATGAAGCATAGCTATATGAAAACATTTGTGTGAAAATTATTTTTAAAGGCGACTTTTTATATTATATTCAACAAGAAATAATTTCTTTCTTTTAAATCCAAGAAAGAGAAAAATCGCTTCCTATAGTTTTTTTTATATTAGCTATAACTCCAAACTATTCTTTATTACGAATTTTAAAATCTTGAATTATATAAATATTGCGTAAAATTATAAATTAAGTTATTGAGGAAATCACCGACAATTCACAAAATATTTTACAATTGTTTATCCAAATTTAAGGGTTTTTCAAGTCGATGAATACAAATCTGATGTAAAAACTAAGAAGTTTTAAATTAATATAATAAAATATTGATATGGCAAATGTCAAAATTTAAAAAATTAAGAAAATATGTTATAAACTTAAATAAAAATACAATATAGCGGATCTCTAAGCGATGGATAATTAATTATTATACAACCTTCTCGCGATTATTATATCGCGAGAAGGTATAATAGACTCATTATTTCACCATGAAAATTCTTAATCTTTACAACAAACAAAGTGTGTGTCGAGGATTAAAAATTTGCACAATATATTTTAGTTTTGAACGCAATAAAATTTCTTTAACACGTTGCATTTTAATTATATAACACGAGAAGTTACAATTAAAATAACTCTTTTTCATAACTATAAATTTCTCAGAATTGTAATGTAATAAAGCACCTAATAATATTGAGGAAACTACAGAAAATAATTTTTTATCTTTTTGGATTTTTTTTGTCTATCAGATCGTGTTACTGGAAAGAACCAGAGAGTGTAATCCCGAAATGATTTACGTGCGCAGCGTTAAGGGCGGAGTTAAGGGAAAATTTCCTCGGTGCGAAAGGAAATTTCGCGGTTGCACACCCGCTCCTCTCGGTAGGTGCACGCACGGTACCAGTTCGTATTTCTCGATGACCTCGGTAAGTGGCACGGAACAAAGCTCGTCGCGGGAAACTTGGGCACTCGTTAGTCGGTCCGTGAAAAGATCCACTCGAGACGCCGAGCACGATCCTCGTCGCCAAGTCAGATTTTACACCACGCGCGGCGAACCCTCCGCTGTGAAATCCTTCACCCCCGCAACGTCTCGCCCCCTCCCCCTCTCTTTCCCCCTGAACGCTCTTGCAACGTGCACACACCTCGTCCCGATGGATTCCAATCTCCGTTCGTGCCTGTTTTGATGCAATCATGCGATTCTCTACGGCGTTATTGACTGACGAGACTTCTCGCAAAGAGACTTCCTCGAAAATTGTACGAAATCCTTGCCAGGAATCGCTCCTTGCCAGGAATATCTGCTTGATTACATGTGAATCTTAATAATATGTTAACAGTTTTGTAAGTACTTAATCTGTCATATTCTATCTCTCGCTATTGTGCGATAGAATTACGAAATTAATTAATTAAATTGATTGCAACTATGAGATACCATGCAAGTCCGTTTCAGGACTTAAAGCCATACATAAGGCTATAAAGAGAATTAACGATCGTTATCTGATACATTTGATTCTCGACTCGGAAATCGGTGAGTCGCCGCTTGTTTCTGTGAGCGCAGGACTTACAATCAGATATATAAAATCAGGTTGAATATATTATAGTATAGTGTAGCTCTACTATAGCCGTAAAAGCAAAATAAACGTGAGCTAATTGTCCTAGTTGTCTCACGCGAGACGGAACAAATTAATTTCGCGCGAGCTTTCGCCTGAAGGTAAAAAGTTTTATCTAATCATCGTTTATTCCCCGCGAGGTATATGTGTCAAGTGACAGCTGCATTTTTATTCATGTCTATATACTGTTTTACTGCAGCGTGCCTGCCGCTGTTTCCGTTTATAATTGTATTCCCTTCCCTCCATCATGAATGGTGAACACGAATGTCGCAAAATGAAATTTCATCGTCGAGATTAAAAATTGATCGTCCCTCTCTGTCCCGATTTTTCCGGATATAGTACGTATCGTCTAAAGATAGAATTTCTCCGACGATGTTGACGCGTCGCGATCGACATACAAAAATAATTATGGACAATCCTCCGCGGTAGGATAATTTTAATCTAAAATTTTAATCTGAAAATTTGCTGGAAAGGAAGTGAACTTTCTTCACTTGTCGATCGAGAGTTTTTCAATGCCACGCGATATGCAACGAATGTATGCAAACTTATTCAACAACTTGCTCGCAAGGACTATTATCCGCAGCGCGCGTGTTGTGCAAGAATATACGTCGTCATGTTGTTGCATAACATACGCTAATACGTTAATTCGCGTTATTAACGATTATGAGTAACGTTATCATTCTATCTCATGACTTGTGCAACGCGATGCAATAAAATATATTTTTAGCCTCTTGCATTTGCATTCGGCGCATCGAAATGCATCAAATCTATCGCGCGTGGAAATCGCCGAGTATTTTTCCGACGATTTGACTTTTAAAAGAAAAGGATAGAGAAATTTCCTCTTATATCCGTGTGCTTTAAAGCGATAAATGAAAATTTATAAACATATGATAAAGAAGAAGAAATATTGTGACGCTTGAGACGATCAAATACGAGAAGATGAGAGATACGCTGACGCATCTGAAATAATTTGATCAATTATTTCGAAATAATTTAATACCTCCGGCGACTCGTCCGGCACTTTGCCCATCCAGCTGAGCGACAGGATATTGCAATCGCACTTGGCGTTGTTATTCTTCTCAAAGTGCAGATGCATGGTTGCGACGCGATCGGCCTTTCCGTCGGCAGGTCCATCAATCTATCGAATCGGCACCGTTTCCCGCGGTTCCGGATTGCCCCGCGGCCGGATTCCACGTCGCCTTTTCCGCGAGCATCCTCGAGCGCGGTGCGCGCACCCTCCTCCCCTCGTTCCGTGACGGATCCCGTGATCGATAATCGAATCACACAGCAGCTCGCACGTCAGCGCGCCCGCACGCGACCAGCGTGTGTCCCGGCGGCGACCGAATCCCTCATGGCCACCCTCGTGATTTTTGAAATCCGGGAGGTATTCACCTCTTCACCGAAGAGGCGGAGGAGAGAGCGCGTCGCTGGCGCGACGCTTCTATATCTCGCGATATCACCCCGGCCCGAGAGGAATTATCGTAGCCGCACCACCGAGGGAGGAGAGGAACCACCACCACCGTCGAGACCACCCCTCAATTTCCCGCGAGTCTCAATTTATCGCCGTTCGCCAACTCCCGATCATTTGTTTCTTATCACGACCGCCATTTTGCCGCCCGAGACGCTACTCCACCTTTCGGGGTTGCCGATCCCCGTGGCCGCGCTTTACGTGCGGGTGGACGTGCGTGTGCTTTTCTCTCCCTCTCTCTCTCTCTCTCTTTCTCTCTTTGTCGCGCGTACTTCCGACACACGCGAGTATCCCCGACGCGAGCGTGCGTCCGACTGAAAGCTCGGCCGCGCGCGCGGTTCGTCGCCGCCGCCACCGACGCCGCTGCCGCCGCGTTCCCGTTTCTTCCGTTCGTCGCGTCGCTTTCGCACGACGAGCGTATTGATTAGAGCCGGCCGTTCCGCGAGACCGTCTCGCGCTTTTCTCCGGTGCTGCATTAAACTCGCCGCGAGCTTTTCCGCGCCTCGCCGCGACCGGCGCGGAACCGCCCCGTTTACTCATGCGGACGCTCGCGATACATCGGTATCATATAAATCGCAACTATAAATTGATCCATATATTTGATACTACTTGAAAGTCACATCTTCAGTCCGTAATACAGTTTTTGTGTAATTAAACAAAATTTTAGATATATTGGAAACTCTGTTTTTCTTGTTGTTTTTTTTTTTAGAAATACTATAGCTAAAAATTTTGAAACACGACCGTGTCGATTGGTAATAATTCTTTTTTATGCTGATACCGATATAAAATGTCGATATTTTAATATAGCAAGTCTACGTGTGATCGCGAGGGATGAAGCGAGGAGGTGGAAGACGAATTTTACGCCACTTTAGATGCATCAAGATTTTTCATTCATAGAGTCGATTTTTCTCTTTCTTTCACGCTACCGATGCATGAACACTTTGCGACTAAGACGTAATAAATTTGCGTGATAAATTACACAAATTTTTATAGATAAGAGCGTACATATCTCTCTCTTTGACGATCTGTCAAATAGATTTTGCTTCGAAAATATTTATTGCACCTTTATTTATCATAGTGATATCAGATATCAGTGTAATATTCGAATATGATAAATTATAAAAATATATAAAATATTGAGAAATAAATCTTTTTCTATAAATATAAAGTAAGAAACTTTTTCTCATTTTATAAATTTGAAAATATATGAACACGTATAAAATCGATAGATAATTGACGAATAAATATGAAAATAGTATGCTTGGTTTCGCGCTTATCATTCATTCTCTCTTCGATTATCGATAATCGACTGTTTTAATATCGACTGTCTGCATCCTCTCATAACGCACGCGGGTGCAACAGCTGGACATGACAGTTTGTTGCTTGATAGTTGCTTGAAGTTTATTAAACAAAAGTTTAAGAAGCAAATTATATATTTTAGAGATTGTACTTATTTTATTAATCATGGATTATAAGGATGAGCAACGCAATGAGATCGAAGCCTTGGAATCAATTTATTGTGGGGAATTGGAAAGTATGTACCACGATAAATTCTACCATATAACCTCTGAATATGCTCAATTAAAAAACAGATATAATGATAATTTAATTTTCGATAAGGATTATTTATTGCAAATATTTCAAATGCGTGCATCTGAACTTTCTTTCTTTTACAGTTTTAGTGACAGAACCATTTTATACGTTTGCTATTCCGATTAAAACGGAAGAATACGAAACAGAAACTGATAATGGTCTCAGTTGTCGGTTAGAATTTACATATACATCAAAGTATCCAGATGAACCGCTGCTTATATCAATCACGGAGCAGGAAAATTTTGAGGATGGTGATGAGAAATTAAAGGCACATCTGGTGGAACAAATGAATGAGAATCTTGGTATGGTAATGGTATTTACATTAGTTAGCGCAGCTCAAGAATGGCTTAATGTACAGTGGGACAAAATAAAAGTGAGGAGAGAAGAGACTGCTGCAAAAAAACAGAGAGAGGAAGAGGAAGCAGAGAGGGTAAAATATTTGAGATAGAAATATCTAAATAGATCAATTGTAATAAAGTCTAAATAATGTCTTTTGCCTTGTAGAAACGGTTTGAGGGAACTCGTGTAACTGTGGAATCTTTCCTGAGCTGGAAGGAGAAGTTTGACGAGGAAATGGGTTATACGAAACGAAAAGAATTAGCAGAGCGTGAGGGAAAGAAATTAACAGGAAGAGAATTGTTTATGACTGATAAAACATTGGATCAATCAGATCTTAAATTCTTAGATGACGGTAAAATAGTTTGACAAGCTTTATTCCTTTGTGAAGATAAATCTATTTCTTATTTCAAAAACATTCTATGTAATTTTTATTATATAGGTGATGCCGTAAAAGTAGATGAGAGTTTGTTCCAAAATCTAGATGACTTAGATCTAGAAGATGATGATGAAGATGACCCAGACTTTGATCCAAATATCTCGGATGATAGTGCCTAAATGGTTTTAATTCGGTAGTCACTAATGTGAACTGATATGTAGAATAACTTATGAAAAAATTTACTAAATTATTACAAGAAGAAAGCAAATAAAAATATATATTTGAAAATATATTTTAAGTACTAGAATTTCTCTTGTGAGCTGAATATTACATCTAGTAAAAAATGGCAGTAATAAATGAAAACCGTTGGTTGAGACCAATAACATATTTCTTCAACCAATATTTCACTGACAGATAAAATTCATAAAACTGAAAATATTTAAAGAACGAAATAATTTTTATACTTATATATATATATGAATTTTGTTTATAAACTTTGTTTATTAAAGAAACGCGCATAATATCTGTTTATTTTAATATTCGCCCCTCTTTCCTCTCATATACTTATCACACAATAAGAATGCAACAGGATAAATATATAATTATTAAAATAACGACCAGAATTTAACATTTATTCTCATAATCTTATAACATTATAATTTATAGACTAAGTAGTAGTTCATAAATATATATATCTTTGCGACTTGATGGAGTCTTTCTCCTGTGATATTCAAGATATTTATTCATGGCAGCATAATACATTTTCCTATGTAGGAATTGCACAACTTCAAAAATTTTTATTTTGTGGCAGTAATCAAAGTCTATGTATATACTGTCGATAAATACTTGCATTCCACAGAACATAGGTACCTTTTCGACGAAAATTTCATTTGTGATAAATTTGTATAGCATTCTTTTCTATAAAATATAAGAACGCATGTCATGGCAGAATACAAAAGATATAGATATTACAATATCTTTATATATAATAATCATAACAATTTTTCTGATATTTCTGTGCAGCTTATTTGATGCACGATTGTTAGTAGAAATAAGTAACTGTTTCATATGATTTATTCATTTTACGTCATTATTTGAAAAAAAAGTATGAAAAGGAGAGAGTAGTCTTATGTATCATCTCTGATGATATATCAAATGATTCTAATGAGGGGATGAGGTCAACTATTCATTAACTATAACTCTCAAATACAAAATAAAAGAGTATATATGATGTATTTTATGTCTGCTATATAATATGTATAGTGGTACTATGTTATTATAGAGATAGTTTTGTAATCATTTTACAAATGAAAGTTAAAAAAAAATAAATAATCTATTTTGGAATATTTGACAACCCATGTCGAAGTTAGTGAATAGTTGTATACATTATATACTCGAGCATATATAAAATTCTGCTGCGTCCGATGTCCAACATCGCTACATTAGATATTATATTAAATAAATATAAATACACACTTGAGACTATTTAAATATAAGAAACACGTCGAGTATAATACCATCAATAAATTGCAATTTCTTAATATTAAAGAGTACATATAATAGTCATGTAACCACTCGCAACGATATTGACGTTTATTTCTTTTGTGACTACAAAAAATTAAATTAAAATATATGTCAAAGTAGTCATCTCGCGTTTAGACTCACCAACGTGTTATAATCTGTTAAGAAAGAAGTCACAGTTAGTCACACAAAATAGTAGAGAGTTTCATAAGTTTAACCAAGCGTTATGAGTAAATAAATATTATTATAAATAAAATATTCTTATAAATAATTATTTACGAAGAGATAAGAATGATATAAAAAACTGCAAATAAATATAATAATTTATTTTTTCGAAAAGAAACGTAGTTTTAATCGCTTGGATAAACTTTAAGAATATTATTACAGAATGTGTGTACAAATTTAATAATTGTTTCCTAGATAACAAAGCATGTTCTATCACGGCCGTAAAATCTCACTGTTGCATATAAGATAGCATGCAACTTCGAGCAGAATAATAATAATTATGATATACATCTAGGGCAAAGTATTAATCTAATAAAAATATTGTTACTATAATAAAAGCGCAATATATCTTCTTTTACAAGAAAAAAGAAATTCTTATTAAGAAACTATATTTTTGTTTTTGAATCACACAAGAGAATCTTTAGAGACAAACATTTCGAGCAAACATCATCATTTAATATTTTAATATTATTATTTTATATCCGCATATTGCATATCATCTTCATAAAGCATTCAAAAATACATTATTCAAAACGGATCAAAAGCTGCAGTCATCATTTTTAATCTCATCTACGCAACATCTCATTCTATTTCTAAGTTTTAAAAATTATACTCATACAGATACTAGAAATTCGAATATGCGTTCTCTAAATAAATGTTTACACAAATCTATTAATATCAAACAAAGCAAATCCGACTTTTGACCAACCTTGTTTTTGATTTGTATATATTAGGTATAATATAGATGCACATATTTATTTAAAACTTCAAAATATATTAATAATTTTTTATCTATAAGAGAGATATATATATCGCAAAGTAAAAATTTTTGACCCAAAAGATATATGTCACGATCTTTATTGGAGTTTTGGTAACCTATTTTCAGATAGATTACTTTTTGATGAGGATAATTAGTCTTCGGGAGAGGAAGTAGAAGACAAGGATTTAGGATATTCTCATATCTCTTCTAGATAATCATCGTCCTAAATCAGGAAACCTAAATATATTATATATTTTTAATATTCTACGATCGCGCGCGCGATTAGATTTTTAATAGAGCTCGCGTGACAGAAAAATTCTAGAGTCTAATTATCGTTGGTTTTGATAAAAGGAACCATTAACTATATATCATCTGAAATACATTTTTACATACATGTCTCCGACATTGAAAAACACGTAAGACAATACAATGTTTTTTTTTATAAAATGCGTCTATATAGTATAAACTTTCCTTAATTAATATACTTTCAACCATTGTCCCTACAAAAGTACTCATTATCTTTTTTTTTAATACTGATACACAGACGAAGAGGAAAACATGAAGATGCTGCATTGTTAGCTTATTGCAATATAAGTAACGCTGTCAGATATTGAATGTCAGCAATCATGCCGCCGTGTACTATATTAGTACTTCGTGCAAATAAATAATTTCTCTTATAATTAAAATGATTTGCAAGCCATTTTGCAGATTTGCATATGCCGTGAGTGACATTGGTTATAAGTCGAGGAAACATCGATATTTTTTAAAGACAATAATGATAGCCTCCAACTTTATACTCCCGGCCGATGAAATTCACTACAGATGTTTTAAATCGTGGCGGATTTCTATTGTCTCTCTGGAAAAAGATTAATTAAGTTTCAGCAGTTTTCAACGAGATTTATCGTGAAAACGAACGAAACGAAGAAAGGCAACACTAGATAGCAAGGGAATGAATGGAACATTATATGAATGAAGCGGCGATTATAAAATAAGATGTCCAAGCTTAATGAATTTTTGTTCAGTAACATTAAAGGAATTAGCATTACTCTTTCGTGCCTGAAAATAAATTGCTATCAAGAACACAAGCTCAAGATCGAATATCAATTTTATCATTTTGTGTTTGCAAGTATTATTCTACGAAATAACATTCATACACATTAATTTCTAAAAGGAGAATGGCCAGAAAAGCGATTTCGTTTATTTTATCAAGCATTATGATAATGTAGAAAATGCAAAAGAAAAAATAAGAAAGCAACGTGCAAAGTTTGTTATATCAAAATAAAGATTTTTAATTAATCTTCTAAAGGTTCTAGTTCACTGCGATTGGACTTACTATTAGTCCTACTCGTTCAGACTGTCTACAGAGTCGCTGCGACGCTATTTGCTACGACTAACTTTGATATATCTGACTACTTTTTCGATCCTACAGCTTGTGAAAACGATATATCTCATCATCGTGATTCAAAGCCATTCGTTGTACTTACTTTTCCGGTAACATGCGAGGCTTGGCATAATCACCCGGCCACTCGTATAAATTTGGCAGTGGACTGTCATAGTTGGCATCGTACATCTTATTTATGATAAATTGTCGCTTGTCTTTCGGTTCCGGATATTCGCTCGCCAAACCACCTGTATTAACGGCAGCAACAGATAATATTCAAATCAAATAACGAGACTAGCAGTATTTTTCGATCCCACGATTACAACGGTACCAACCTTTGGCATAAGCGTAATCGGCTATCTTAATCGCGATGTCGATAGAGCATTCCCGGATAGTATTCAACGGCGGATACAAACTACCCCTTTCGAGATCCTCGTTTTTCACGTGATCGGCAACAACCTGTGCGGAGATTAAGAAAAGATCCTCGGTGATGTGATGCACTCCGGTGCCGATAACGCCCAAAGCGATACCGGGAAAGATGTATGCGTTATTGCCTTGTCCAGGCTTGTATGTCTTCCCGTTGTATTTTACTTCACCAAATGGCGAGCCGGAGGAGAATATGCATCTACCCTAAAAAAAACGTAGACAGATTCAACGAGATGGTTTAAAGCAAGCGGAATTATCGGTACAACTTTATTCGCGTGCGATTTAAACATGGGTTGTATTCACATACATCGGTATGATCGTACGCCTGCTGCGCCGTACATTCAGCTTTGCTGGTTGGATTACTCAGAGCAAAGATTAACGGCCTCTCGTTATTCTTCGCCATCTCTTTGAGAACCTCGGGAGTGAAGGCCCCTGCCGCTGCCGAAGCGCCTGCGCGAAACATTTTAATTCTGTATACTCAGGGAGGTAACTTGAAAAGAGTGTTATTTACCTATCAAGACGGTAGGCTTGACCGCCTTCACGACTTCGAGCAACGTTTTCATCACTTTGTAATCCTTCGCGTACCAGATCTTGTGGCCTTCCAGATTACCCTCGGGCCGATTCTTTACGAGCAATCCATCGATGTCCATCATCCAGATATTATCACGCGCTTGCTGTTGAGTGCAACCGTCAGCCTCCATCGCTTTCACGCAGAGATCAGCTATTCCGATAGCCGCCTACAGCCGAGTAGAATAAATATTATTACAACGCGATTTTCTCCGCTGGAACGTGTGATTATTTATTACTGTCGAGATATACGGTTATTACACCGTCTCGAGAATCTACCTCTCCGGCTCCCAGGAAGACAAATTTATTATCCGCCATCCTCTTCTTAGTTATTCTCTTTGATGCCAGGATTCCAGCTACCGCAACCGCAGCCGTACCTTGTATATCATCATTGAACGTACAGTACTTGTTTCTGTATTTGTCTAAGAAACGGAAGGCGTTGTGGTTGCCGAAGTCTTCAAACTGAAACATGTGATGAGAAATTATTATCATATCGGATTCACATGTGTATTACATATGTATCGCTGCGTACGTTAGCTTACTTGAATAAGAACGTTTTGTCCGTACTTTCGCACGCAGGCAGCCATAAATTCATCGATCAATTCGTCATACTCGGCACCTTGACTCCTAGGCTTGTTGAGACCGATGTAATGAGGATCGTTCCTCAGCTGTTCGTTATTAGTGCCCACGTCAATAGTGATCGGTAGGCATTGGTGTGGTTTAATGCCAGCCAAAGCTGTGTAAAGTGCTAATTTTCCGACAGGGATACCCATGCCGCATGCCCCGAGGTCGCCGAGACCCAAAATCCGCTCACCGTCTGTCACGCAAATGGCTCGCACCGCTTGCTCCGGCCTAGCGATGTGACAGATATCGTCGTAAATATAGAAAATGGTCAAAGAGATAGACGCTAACTAGGAATAGATATTAAGATGCCACTATATGCGTAAAATAATCATTTTTACTTGCCATACATTATAACATAAAGATAACGCGCGCGTTGTACATGTCGCGTGGGATTCTATTTTTAGCAAACACAAACGCAGACGCGCACTTTCGTTTAAATTCTACGTTGCGTATCTCCGACCAAAACCACGTTCTCTTTCAACTCTCACGGTCATTTCTTCATCAATCGTGTAATTTATTAAAAGAGGGACAAGCGCGAATATTATTAAACGCTATCGTCCTTTTTCACGAATATGCAAATACAACTAGAGTACACATACAAGATTTTTGTGGCAGGCTATTTTCTTCTATACTAACCAGTTATTCAAGATCTCGTAGATATGACCCTTATCATATATAGTAATGAAGAGGCCGCGAGGTCTGCGATAGATCACACCAAACTTTTGGCAAGCCAGACCAACAGTGGGCGTATAGACAATTGGCATCATCTGTTCAATGTTTTCACTCAACAGACGGAAAAATAATCTCTCGTTCCTCTCCTGAAAATCATACCGTGAGAAAAATTAAGATCGCAATCAAGATTTTAAACGCGACGAAAAGAGAAGCGCTTTCTCACTTGAAGCTCCACGAGATACAGATATCGGTTCAAATCCTCCGTGTACTTCATGACTGAAGCTTTACATAGCGCCAGCTGTTCCTCCTGCGTCTTAAATCTGGGGGGTTGCAGTCCGTGTATTCCCAGAGCTATCCTCTCTTTCAAGGTGAATGCTAAGCCCTGTGTCATTGTGTCATGAAATATTTATACTTTTGAGAAATCGTAGAGTCGCTGGAGAAAATTTTATAAATACAAAGTACCTTGTTAAGTCGGGGATCTCTGAGATGTCCGATTCCCTTTACCATATTTATCGGTACCACATCTCCCGAGATCTCGTGGATGTCCCTTTGTTGAACGCCGTCCTTCACGGCGATATGCGTAGGCGGGAGGGCTCGCGTCCATGATCCACCGCAATTTCTGCCACTGGCCGATCTGGCACACATACGCGCGAAAAATTATACCCGGAATTCCACGGCTGCATTAAACTGCGCATTTATTTATGTCTCGCGGAAAGAATTTTTTTTGCTTTTTTTTTTTTATTGTCGACAAAACCACACCTGACGTCCGTCGCGCGCATTAAAATCTACTGTCGACCATCTACTATAATTAATGACGATGTAATCGGTGAGTCATTCACGAAATATGAACAGCGTGAGAATCGGCCAAAGAAAAAATGATAGCTTCGTGCGAGAGAGACAAACATAATATCCATTTCACTCTCGAATTATTTATATCAGAGGATGACCGATAAATGATATGCAATTTGATAAAATTTAGGAAATGGTCGGAGCGTTGAAACTCGTTAGGAATTGCAAATGAGTCGCTCTTATCACGTATCACTTTGCGCATATCTGCTCTCATTAACCTCTTGCTGGCAAAAGAGAGATAGGTTTCATACATGTTTAAAATGTGCTCCAAAAATGTTATCTCAATAGAGATCTTATATTAATATATATGCATACACATACATTTTTATATTAATATTAATTAGTGTTATATAAGTGTAGGTAACTTTATACTTTTCAACTTCAATTTTTTAGAAAATAGTATTAAATACAAATTAAAAAATTGTAAAAATTATAGTCACATTTGGCGTAGTATTTGTATACTATGATTTCCTCTTTACTGCTAATGGCAAAATTGATAATAAAATCGATAATTGTCCGATAAACGAGGATAATGATTAGATAAGAATTTATCGAATATTAAAATTGAACCTTGCCAGACTGCGATCAATGAAATTGCAAGTAAAATAGATGATAACTCCAAGTTTTGTGCAAGTTTTTTCTACGAAGAGAACATAATTCTTAAAATAACATATACTTAAGAGATTTTAAGATCAAATGAGATAAAACGATCTTCCGTACTGCGCTACGCCCGTGAAAAACAATATCTTTATATCTTAAAAAAATGTTTCCATAATATTAAAATAAAATTACAAATAAAAATAAAAAATTACAATACAAATAAAATAAAATAGTTCCGGAGCGATTGAAGAACGATATCATCTCGCTTTAAATCTTGAAATACTGACCCGCGACAAGCATCTTACACTCACGAAATTATCTGACATCACCTCGAAAACCAAAGCAGGTTACGCTATTATTATTACCGTGGCGTAAAGCCAGCTTTAAAGAAATGACCGTGCGAAATCCGCCTCAACTTATATGTATCTCTTTTAGCCATAACTCGGAGATATGATGGTCATGGCATATTAGGCTTATATTAGCCACGCCGCATTTAGCGCCTGAATTCTTCGCGAAACATGCGTTGCTTTAAATTAAAGCAGCGCGTCCATAATGAACGTTTGTGCTTTTAAACATGCAGACGTTTTCCCCTTCAATATTACATCGTAAAGTTCATTTCAGATGAGTTCTAATTTATGTGATAGTGTATTCACAAAAATTCTATTTATTATTTTATACGTGTGTGTGTGTGTCATGCATCTTTATATATATTTATATATTGTTATTAATTTTGTATATATATTCTGATTTTTCAAATATTTTTGTCATGAATAAAGGATTCTGTCGTGAATTTTTTTTATAGATCGCTTTATATACGATCTATAAATTTGCAACAAAATTCAAGATAGAACTTTATCAATTTTATGTGCCAAATATTCTAATATATATGTATGTCCTGATATGTATTTTATGTACATGTGTATTCTTCAAGTATTTTTTCTATATTATATACAATTATAAATACAAAATGGAAAAAAAGATCATAATTCTAAAAGTTTTGTCCCAAATTAAAGATCGTTTAAAACGGGCTTGATGACAAATTCCTTCTTCAAATTTGCGAATATAATTACATCATAATGTATAGAAGGAGACTAAGCATTACGACTATGCTGGCCCCGCATTGTTATTATAATCAGAGAGAGTGTAGTTCCGATGTTATGATTAATGGCAATGCTCACGTAGCCCTCCGACGTAAAGTAGATTTCATCGTCGTTTCCTCATTGTCAACAAACGACCGAAACTATGTCGCGATTGTATATAGTGTGTGCAGAATAAAAAACTCATTAACTATACAAGGCATGCTCGAAATAAGTTTGCTCGACTCTTTCTTTACGTACGTATGTAAAATAATTCTCTCACCGATATTAATAATTACGTAACTCTTCTCTCAACTTAATGGATTCTATAAATATCTGACAAACCCCAATGATATAAGACAGCGTGACGTAATCAAAGTTTCACGTTGAAGTTCGCGTTGAAATACGATTCTTATATACTATGTTTCTTGTCTCTTTTCTTATAGCTCTGATCGATCGACTATGACATCATAGCGGTAATGTTTTTTGCATCAATTTGCATGTCAAGAACGTTTACGTTTTAACCTGAGCAGATTATGTTACTAATAACTTTAGGTTTATGAACTTCTAATTAAAATGATCATCGTGTTTGTGCGAATCGTTTATTATCAGAAAGTTTTACGTAAACCTTAAAAAAAAATGTAATATCAGTAATTGTCAAAAAAAAACCAATAAAAAGCAAAAAAGTTCCTTTGAATTTGAGCGTTCAGTATAACTGTCAGGGCAAATATTGTTTTCCCCAAACTAAAACATAAGTTGCAATAAGATGCAAATTTTAAATGCTTTCGCGTACAGATTAGCAAGAACTAAATGACGCTTATATCCGCGAAAAGTCTATTATGTATGCAGAGTTTTCTTTAGCGATAAATAAACTCGTTCTTAAATAAATGACACGATTTTCGAAATTATATCTAATATTCAACTTGCGCATTAAAAACGTGTCACATCACTTACAAAACGAGGCGGTACGTGCATAGATCGCAAAATTGTTGTATTACCAGGAAGCGACGTTCGAATAATTTGCGCAAATAATCGATTAAGTACATCTCACGAGCCGCGGATGTAGAAACCCAGCACATTAAGTATCGTAAACTGGATCGAGCGGCGCGATAGGGTAACTGAGCGCATCTGTCAAATGCTTTACGACGATGCGATTGTATGCCCGTATATCGTTCCTATTATCGATTATCTTGAAACCACTCATAGATAATTTCAATGGTATGTATCAAACAATTGCGCGCCCGAAATGATAATTAGTGAGAAAGAAAGATGACTCGCTCTCTCTCTTTCAACGAAACAAAGATATTCGAGATCGTATACTTATATTCTTCTTTTCTCGATAATCATGGAACTATCCTACTTATGCAAAATGAGTCAGGTTTTAAGAATAGACTCATATAAGAATATAAGCAAAGAATGTTATATAATAAATATATAAGAGCGCATAAACGTTTTGAGATAAAATATTTTAATAGTAATATATATGTATATATATACAAAATAAAATATGATAAATCAATAGAATCGATGATATTTTTATCTATTCTCTTTATTTGTACTATATTTACTGTTTAAATTTGTTGAAAGTCATTAACGTAGACGATAAAAACTTATCTATAATTACGTCTCTTTCGATTATTATGCATAATTATCGATGAATGTCAGATAATCGCAATGACTAGTAGAACAGTAAACATAAGTTGAAATAAGTAGATATAAAAATATTTATGCATTCATTAATTTAAATAAATGCATTACAATTATTTAAATAAAAAATTAATTAACAAACTATTTTTTACCAAACCAAAATATATACTGTATAAATTACGTCGTTCACTTTCGACGATTTTATAGTAAACATCTAAAAAATAGGTATTTATGTATTCATTACTTATAGATATTTATGTATTCTTTATTTCTAAGTCAAAAATAAACTGTTTCTCTGAATCATTCGGTTTCTCGATATATCGCCGCGATTATCCACAATCGAAAATTATTTTTTGCATCACGTTTAATGTAGAAATTATACTAATCACCTCTTCGATGATTTTATAATAAACAGATGAAAAATAGACGAATGCAAATATTTATATGTTGTTATTTATATTCACTATTAAACTGAAAAATAAATCAACAATTTATTATTTGCTAAATTGCTTTTTCAGGCTCACGAGTTCCGCTATCGAATTTTAAAAACATGGTATTTTTTTGAACGTATGATCAATTTTCGAGTCGATTATCGTTTTGATTGAACATTTAACTGGAAGCGTTTTTTTATTTCTTTCTTTTTCTACAATTTCACGAATGAATGTGTCACATCATGTGTCACTATACGCCCCTGGTGCTTCCGGAACATGGGCAATAACCATTTTTACCTTGACTTTACGTCACGAGATTATCCATGTTAATCCGTTATTTCCGCCGACATCAATTTCGCGATAGAATATTGATTTATATTCAATTCTATTCAGAAAACTTCGATAAATATTGTGAAAAAAATTGCAGTGCAGTTGTATAGTAGAGGAAAAAGCCTTATTGCGCAACATTAATACTTTCGGTGACGCGGTAATCGGGTGAAACGGTACGGCAAATATGATAAGATTTACTTATCTACGTTAACTTTTATCTGCGCAGTCAAAAAGTACTAATTAACAATCATACACGCGTAATTCAGAATTTAAAAAACACTTTATTACAAATTATCAAGATCTACACCGAACCTTCTCGATAATTAATCCAAGATAGAGATTTTTAAGAGATAAATTAAGCGAGATAAAAATCATTTATCTAATCGGGAGAGGAGCATTAGACTTTCCGAAACACCGGATGATCACTGTGAAACCTTATCGAGGTAGCGAGCAAAGAACATTGCGGAAGAAACGAATCCTTCGGGACAATAATCAAGGTCACGGGCAAAGACCAGAACGAAGAGAGAGATAGAGAACGGGAACAAACCCGAAGAACACCTGGACAGAGGAGTTTGTCTCTCAATAACCGCTCGCCTCGGCGCGTCAGTAACCTGGCTTCGCTACCCGGTATCGATCGCCGGTTGGTTGCTGGGGCGCTCCTATTTTCAGCACCGCATTGCGGGATTGCGAAGAGAGTTGGGTTAAACTCGGCGGCCCTTTGTCTCTTGTTACGAGGTGTCAGTTTTCTTTTGCTGATGAAGATCGCGAAGATCCCGCGTAATACATGAAAAGCGCGCGTATATCGGCGCGCTAATCTCAGGGGCCTTTCGACGGATATCCCGGGAAGCGACGTTCGTGCGAAAAATTTCGCACTCTGATTCAGTACTCACAATATAGACCTCTGCAGGACGAACATCTCGCTCTCCTTGTGTTGCTCGCAGCTGATCGCACCTCCCACCCGACAGGATCGGCGCGCGCGACTGCGCGTTCTTACACAAGGGACGCCGGCTGTGCCGCGCCCGCGCCTCGACTACCGCTTCAAAGCGGCGGCGACCGGCGGCGACAAAGGCGCGCTGCGAAAGGTGCGACGCGACGCGGAAGAACTTCAAAAGAAATGCGCCGAGTCTCGTGTTTTTCTTTCTTTTTTAATTTTATATTTTTTACTCCCGCGCAAAAGAGAGACGCAGAGCATTGAAAGATTCTTATCTCGTCAGATCTTAACACGTGCGTGCGATCAGTCTGTGATTTAATTTATAAATATCTTGCGCGTAAGTGAGAGGATTTTGAACATGTATATATTGATGATAAGAATCCTCTCTGCACAATTGAATATTTTTACATTTCTATAATTATATTAAGTAAAATTAAATAATAATATTAAATTAAACCGCGCGATTGTTTTGATATGCGGAATTAAAATTTTGAAGCATCCATGGATATATATATATATTTTTTTTTAAAGTATTTTTTAAGGATTTCTAAATATTTTCATATACAACACGGAGAGAAATATTTTTCATTTCCGAGAAAGCAGAGTCTTACTGGCTAACCGATGGTTGGTGCACTCACAATCAGCTGTGATGTGTCAAAAGGTTGACAGAAAACGACCTGACCGACTCCCTTTTCTAGATTACATTTTCTTCGGAGAGAGAAGGAAGTTTTGTACTCTACTATCTTTGACGCACGGCGCACGGTATAGTTATCATTTGCTGATAAGGCGACAAGCAATAAAAGGTATTTATAAATGTAACGCTCTTTCGAAACGTGTGTCGAAATGCAATCGATGCAGATTAACGTGTGGAATATAATCGACTATACCTATGCAAAATTTTGATCGAAATTATTAACACAAGGTAAACTGCACATTCCAATTACATAATTAATTATAAATTATAACTAATGTAATATTGTATCAATTATTATAACCTTACCGATGCAAATAATTAATTGCGACCGCAAATATATGATCAGTTTCATATAATCGAAAACTACAGTTTGCCAGTTGGAAATTAAAAGAAAAATGATTATTGACAATTAATCGTTTAAATTATCTCTCATGCACATTTGGCACACAGATATTGTGTAATCATGAGAACTACGGATAAATAGCTAATTTTCTTCTCTCTCTTCCTTCCGCTATTCACTGTTCGAGCAAATGATCATAACGTATATCTCTTCAAACGTAGTACGCTTGCGGCGAATTGTGCTGAGACAGAGTTCGTTATAATGTCTGGGTTCGAAATACCTAGAATAATTATCTCAAACAATTATGCTGAGAAAGACGTTAACGCATTGTAAGAGCGTTTCTCGTTTCGTAGCTTCTTCGTAGCGTAACAAAGCGGTCTCCTTTAACGATCTACTGAAGTTACGGCGGAGTTTAATTGTTTTCAACCTTATATGTAGGTCGTTTCCGAGTCTCTCGAAGGGATAGGAGAACCGAGATCAATCGCTAATGATATTCTGTGTATTAGGCTCCTCTCAAAAAATTCGATTTTTTTTTTTTAAGATCCAGGCTCTGAAATAATTATGCAGACATACAGATTTACGAGGCACGGTGTATTTTGACGATGGGAAAAGGAATGCAGGAGCCGGCGCTCTTAAAAATACATTAGAAAAAACAACCGTGAACGTATCGTGTGAGACGTATGGATTCATACGTGAAGGTTTATTAAGGACAGTAACGATGTGTGTGTGATTGCATTACATTCTCGTAACTTATGCGTGAGACACAAGTCAGGCCTCACAAAGGGCCTCAAAACAGAATAAGAAAATACATCCGCTGAGTTATTAGCGGATACCGAAGTCGGTGCTCCAATGTTCTCCAACTGGTCGTTCCCTCGTCCGGAGCACGACTACGATGTGCTTTCGTGGATAGTTTTAACCGCAAGACAAAGTTTCGGGATGCGCCCCAGGCGCGCGCAACTTGGATAATTAGACTTCATAGGTCCCGGTAATAGGCGGTATGATACGCGCGAATGGATAATAAAAGTTACGTTCCTAGGACTGCATTATCCTTGATTACGGAGCGCCGCGTGTCAACAGCACGTCACTTGATCGGATTTTTCGACGATTAAACTTCGTTATAGTATATCTTCTTTTTTAGGTGTAAACGCGAAATAAATAGTTCCTTTATTTTGATAATTTACTCGTTCGTTTGAATTTATCCAGACTTTTATGGACAGTAGTATATCTTTAAAATAAATTATACGTGTACGCGTGTATGTGTTTTACAACGAATTAATTCTCAATCGATCAATTGATTGTATAAATATCGGTAATAAAATTAATATTAATCTATAATTGTGTTACAAAATTAATTATATAATTTGTAAATTTATATTACGTATGTTATAATCAATTAACTTTCAATTGATCAATCGATTGTGCAAACGTCGATTGTAAAATTAATGCCATTATTTCGACGATGCATTAAAAAGTAGATTGGTAACAGATGCACATATACACATATA